TCTATGAGGTACGAATTGATTATGGAAGCCGAACCGGACAGAAGTACGTAAGGGAATCGGTGTCCATACAAAGTCCACAATCAGTGGTTGTTTACCATGTTTGATTCCGTAACGCTTCAGCCAACCGACATTTACTTCCTTGATTCGATCCTCATCGTAACTGACATCGATGAATTCACCCGCTGGCGACGCATCTTTGACTGAGTCGATGGCTTGCGGGAGAAACTCCTCCCGGAAGCGTTCATCAGAATCTGAAGCGCTTCTGGACCAGTTTGCTCTGATGATGCACGCTCGCTTCATCTACCTACCACCGTCACCTGTGGTTCATCCAAATCCTCATCATACTCCAATCCAGTAAAAGTTATTGTCCTATCGGAAATTGGAAGTGCCTCCCCCGGAGAACGTTCTCACTGGAAGCTTTAATTAGGTTCAATGTAGTCCTTTTCCTGTAGAATTTGGGAGCAACGAACCAAGAGTCACGACAGTTAGGATCTGGGATAGGATAGGAGTTACCATTATACAAACAAAAAAATCAATCTGATGACACTCTCGGCACTGTCAGCACAGCTGCGGCACACGTGAGGCACACTGAGAAAAAAATTGGCGCAAAATACGTGTGTAGAGTGACCACCCCTTGGGTAAATTATAATTGTATTAGTGCAAGAAAACCTTTGAATTTACTAATACTTATGCAATTCAAAAACGTCAGATAAGTCTACATGTTAGCCGTGGTTTGACACATGTTTCTGACGGTAGAACAGTTACTGATATTTAGTTGGAGCTACCGAAAGATGACTCAATTTACAACAATTTATTTCTTTGTTAGAGAACAATCAATGGTTACTGATGAATAAAATGGACAGTACACCCATCGCGTTCAAATTGTTGTTATTTTTCACGGCTAGATCCTAGCTTTTTATCAAATTATACTTAACAATGACGTAGCCAGGTTTCTGTTTTGAAAAATTATTTTCTATTTGCAGAATCTTCATGTTTGGGAATTTCAATTTCCAGTAGATTTAGCATATAGCAATCGCATTGCTTAGAATCTTATATCTCAAATATTATCCATGTCCTAGAGTTAAAAAAATGTTTTGCGGACAAACTTTTACAGGAAACGTGTTAAGACAACCATAAAATTGATGTTAATTCATGATGAAAACGTTTGTTAAGGATTGTTAGGAAGTTTGTTGAAATACTAACCGCCTTCATTCTATGGTAAAGAGCGTCTAATTACTTCAAATGCTGTTTCAAATATCGGGAATAAAGGTGCCAAATCATTGACTTCATCGAAATACCAAACTAAGCTTTACATAATTGAACAGATGATGCTAGCAGATTTTTAGAAACTCGAATGGCTCGAGTGCCACATGTCAACAATTCGCTTTATTAAGGGCTTTGATTGGCGATCAATCATATGAATTCTAAAGCAACCAATAGACGATGCTTGGGACTAGCAATCATCCTCAATGTGTAAAAACTGGTGATCTTAAATTAGGCAATACCAGCGCCGGCCGCGCCCGACACAGGTCAAGAAAGGAATGGGAAGGATTGTGTTGACATGACACTCGCTTTGATGGAAGCCGAGAACACCTCTGCACTTCCACGAGGAATCACTGGGATATTGGGTAATAGGGTTGGGTTTGCAGCAGGGTTCGTTTTGGTAAACGATAAGCTGAATTGATGTCCTAACAATCATATAACGCGAAGGAGCTTGAGATTGAACCCACGGTCTTCTGCTCAGTAAGCAAAAACGTTTGCCACTAGGCAGACGACCTCCTTTTTAATCATCGAGTTGCTGTTATTACCATGTAGTCATGTTGACAAATAAAACGATTGACGAATTTTGAATGTGGATGGGCTTGAGATTAGACTCATGATGTTCTGCTCAGTAAGCAAAACCGGTTGTGCTAAGGCCACCGAGCCCCTCATATCACATTATAGCGTTACTCAAGTTTTTATGACTATTCAGTCCCGGCACCGACGACAACGTAAAGTTTTACGAAATACACGATAAACAAGCGATCTAACCATACATTTTTAATATGAAAGGATCTGAGACCGCGTTTTTCTGCTTAGAAAGCAAGCAACCGACGATCTTTGAAATCCTTAAACTAAAAGCTATGAAAGAGGCCTTCATTAAGATCCATTTTCACGCGACGTTAAATGTTTCGATTTTCTCTTTACGCATGGTTCAGGTAATCATAACAAGCTATGACCAACGTGACGATTATTTAAGACCTGGTTGAACAAGCTATTCGAATGAAATTACGTTCTCGAATTTTACTAGGCTTGTAATGAACAACAGAATTACGCGATAATTCATGTTTTCAGCGGTTGATGGTTAATTTTAAATATACTAACGGTACTGCCTACGACTACGACGGCACCTATGACATGGACAACAGCGAATTTGTAACTTACCATTCGTCTAGGATAAACACCTTTCCCCTGCACATCGAAGATAACTGATCGACCGATAAAGAGTGGAACGGTCGAAAATTGATCAAATATAATTAAGTGCACACAGATAGTGTTATTATATAAATGATCAAACTTTATTTCTTTTTGAACTTCAACGGCTACAATATACAGGGATGTTGTTGTAGTAGGCTTCGAACTTTCCAAATATAAACTACCAGGGTTTACATTTCACACCGTCCATCACATTTTGTTCAGCTGTTGTATCAACCTTATTTGATGCTGAACGCCATCCAGGTAACAATTTGATGCTTAACAAGTGTTGTTCAATTGATTTTAATTCAGCCTTAGTTTGAATAATTGCTGTACATAGACCATGTTAACATTTGTTCAGCTTTTAAGCATCTAAATCTAGTGATTTTATTCAGCCAAAAGCTTAACAGTTATATAAATTATAATCTTTTTAAGGCATTAAATAAGAGTCTTTCCAACCCTTGTTCAGCCTTCTAGTTTTATTTAGAACAAATAATAATGGAAGATCGCTTCATATCTTATATATTTTTATGGGACTGCAACAAGGTGCTGACTAATTGGATTTACATATTTATATTGTTATTATAAGTCTTAAAAATACCTTTACATTTCGGGATTTGAACCGGTAGCAATGCAGAATTGTAAACAACAACTGGTGACAGGGAAACATTCCTCTCATTTTCAAGTGTAGTTAACACAAGTGCGCGATTTATTTCGATGGTCATGTGGAAGCTATTTTAGTGCCATGATTGAGTTATATTTTTGGAATTCAGTCTGAAAATTCAATGCCATATAGCAGGCGAAACACAGAAATACAAATGTTAATGCTCCCGGCGTCGTCGCAGCCCACTTCTACCTGGAGCTATTCCTAGAAAAGCTACTCTACCTTGTCTCTACTGCTGCCGCTGCTTGGGATTAGAAAGGTAGGCAGTGAATTTAGAAGAACTAAAATGCCGGAAATGCAACGAGTGACACTGACTACATTTAACAAATCAGGCTATCAAAATATTTGTAGTGCATTGCTGATTTGTGGAGTAGTGTTAAGCTTAAATAAGACTTGTTCAATCTCTAGATCAGCTAACTTATTGAGGTTGAATTATGGGGATACAATTAACTTCATGCAATACTAATCAACTATATATTCAGCCTGCTGTTAATCAGCGTTGTACACCTTAAATCAACCAATAATCAGCTTATGTTCTTACTGTTCAGCTTGAATTGTTACTTGGGCAATTTGCTTTGAACTGTTTCTCATTTTCAACTTTTGTTTTAGGTTTCGCTTAACGATTGCCTAATATTTTTCGATCGGGCGCAGCTCCGGCGAGTTTGGAGGGTTTTTGTCCTTGGGTATGACTTAGACGTTGTTGGCGTTATACCGTTCCTGAGCCATTTTCCCGTAATGACAGGAAGCGAAGTCTGGTCAAAACAGCACGGAATAACTGTGTTTCTGTGTTTTTAAACAGGCAACAGGCGTTTTTGCAAACATTCCTTTACATAAATATCTTGGTTAACAGTGCCAGTTGTCACGTGTTTTCGGGAACTTTGGCAACTTTTTCTGCTTAAACTTATCTTGAACCTGTTCTTTTCCGGTAGCCGTGTAAAACTCTTGACCTGGGAGCTGCTTGAAATTCGCCTTCACGGATGTTTCATCGTCCATTATGACAACTGTGTACAACTTACGTGCTCCTGCTTTGGTCGTGGTGTTTTGTTTATCATCTCGATTGGGTGTCACTGTAGCCTTGTATGTTGACAGTCCGGCTCGTTTCTTGGCTCATTTGCGCTTCTTTCCGACATCTCTGATAGAATGGCTAGGATTACGCTTCTACCGGTCGCTGCGGCAACCTTGTTTTTGGTTTTCTCCTGATCCTGCTTTCCTAGCAGTCGTCAGACACTTTAATAACGTTTGCCAAGTCTGCGTAGGAAAAATTGGGGTTTTGCTTATGCGCGAGCAAAATTTTAAAACGCTGTTGCTCTTGCTTCGACGCCATTTTGACAACTGAATAGTTAATGGCAATAACAAAATAGAGGCAACATTCCGTACGCACACAAAATGAGGGGTGTTCAAGTTTCTTAAGTGCACGATTAAAAAAAAATACATCAAATTTTAGTCGACCAAGTTTTAACCGTTCCACCCTTTATAACAAACATTTGAATTGCATTATTGTACACAGTAAAAACTTAGAGGCATCTTGGCACGATAACACCAAGCAATCGATCAAATGAGCAGATTCTTTCAACCGTACAATTCACTCAACACCAGTTCTCAATACAATAACCACATACTTCATTCTATCTACACCAAAACACACATATTCACATCTAGCCCTCGTTTCCGATTGTCGGGTTTCCCCCACACAACCGGAAACGAGACCACCTACCAACTTAGATTAATCCCACCTTTAACTATAGAATAGCTTTATTAAATTACATAAATCAACTTTCTCTTAAATACTACCAAAACTGATATACAATTGTTTTTAAGAGAACGCAGCCCACCAGACGAACGAAACACACTAACCAATGAAATACCTATACTTACTTTCTAGGCTTCACTTTCATTACCTGGTTCACCATTTAATCTTCGTAGAGGATCTAGAGGATCACATCAGGTACAACTCCAGTCGAATCTTCACTAAACGATTTATACGTTTTCTTCTTTTTCGTCTTTCTCGTTTTCTTCTCTCTCATCACACCTGTGTGTTGCTTTGTGTCTATTTCCAAACCACACACACACACACTCGACCTGGAATCATCGACCAACCGAAATCACCGAAACGACAACAACCACCACCACCACCACAGTTTACGATACGTAACGGTAGAGGACGTTTCGTGGGCGTACCTGGTAGCGATAGAAAACCATTGGTACTCTCAACATATCTCGATGCACAAGAACATTTGCCATACGCCGATGACTCGAACGCGGTCACACCGATGTCGGAGGAAAATGGTGCAATCATCGTTCCAGTATACTATGCTAATTTAGGTACACTATAAAAAAGTAAAATCCAAAAAAAAACCGAATCCAATTCCGGAATCAGAGTTTATCTTCCATGTTCAAACATTTGTTACGTTTCGAAATTTTTGCGTCAAAAGAGAAAGATACGATTGCTCTTTCCGAAAGATGGCTGCTTTCATTAAACTTTCGAAAAAAAAACGCTCTAAATTCTCTATCTCTGCTCAGCTCATCTCCTTACCTGTCTCTCAATTCTCGAATTGCCAATAGCGATACTCTCACTCTGTCTTTCTATCTCTCTCTCTCTCTCTATATATGCCACGTAATCTCATTCAACTCTATTCAAAATTCAATCTCTATTCTTTCCCTTTTGTCCCCTCAAACGTTACTAGTTACCAGCATCGTTCGACTTTTTCTCTCTAATTTTAACATCATTGCTCAAACAGATACTCGAAAATACAGAATTAATACATTTTATATTTTTTATAGTGTCCATACTTATACTAAGTTTTGATAGCTTTCAACAAAAAAAAAACACACAACACAAGTTTTGGTTCGTGGATTACTTTCTGCATGATTTCGATCATCCATATTCCATTTTCGTTCTATTTTTCCAACCCAATTGAACAACATATTGACTGTTTCATCATTTTGTTTCGGTTCGATGCCGTGCTTCTTCTTTTTATTTGAAAAAAAAAAACATTCTGCTCTGATTACAAGAAATCAAAATCTCCAAATCATAACCAGTTCAGTTCCGTTCGATTTTGCACACCTAAAATGCTTGTCACTAATTCACCAAGTTTGAAAGAAATGTCTTAACCCTCGGTACTAACCGAAATCTGTTGCACCTAAAGGTTCGCGACATTCATCCTACACATCGCATCAATCTCGCATCTCGTACACATCCCACGGTGATCTGCTCGGCGGCATGACGAAGGAGAGCCGCCTGCGGAACCGATCAGCGCGCAACACCAATCACTCGATCGTGCCGCCGGCGAACATGGGGCCGAACATGTCCTACGTGGACAGCAACCACAAGGGGCAACGAGACTTTGTAAGTATTTGCAATATTTGTTCCTCTATGTTAAAGGGTGTATTCTCTAGAAAAAATTGTACACACATAAACAGCTGCAGCTTCTTTTTTTTTAACTATTACACCAAGTGATTTTGAATTTTCAGGAAATAATGTTTAGTCCACAACGTACATATGTGATCTTTATGAGAGTCTTGCCTTGCAAAATTCAACGTCGCAAAAATCTCCGATGAGTTTTCAGGTTCAAAAATTAATTTCTTCATTTAGTTTGGCATTAATCATTGCTGAGTTTCCTCAAATATTCTCATAAACAATTAAAATTTACTGCAAAGTCGCTAACCAAAATGTCAAAATGCCGTCAGACATCGATATCCGGTACAACACGTCACCAAGATTCCAAAAATAACAAAATTGTGGGTAATTTGGCAGTATTTCACAGTTTTTCACTAACCGGAAGCCGCCATATTGAGTTTCAGAAGGACGTCAGACATGGTTTTCCGGTCCCTACACGTCACCCGGATTCCAAAAATTGAGGGGTACTTGACCGAATTTCCAAGTTTTTCTTTAACCAGAAGCCGCCATCTTCAATTCCAAAAAGGCTTCAGCAGTGATGCAAAATATTATGACACTCACGTGACACTCGTCTACGTATCAGCCGACTTTCTCTGACAGAACGTTTTGTCACGCAGTGAGAGGTAGAGCCATGGCAAACAACAATCACCAGTAATGGTCACTGACTGCTCACAAGGAAAACGTTACACTCGCTGCTGATGATGAAAAGCACAACGAAAACAGTGAAGACTTCTGCAGTACGAGCATGAGAAAAAGTGAAACGACAGAAGAAAATGAAAACAATGTCTACGCATTCCAAGTTCGTCTCGGCAGGCACGACTGTCCGAACAAAGAAGGCAAAATTAAACGGAAGCTGTTGGGCTCACTCACCAACACACTCACATAAGTAAGCAAAGCAGCAACTGCTTCAAAACGAGCACAGATGAGTGTCGTGTTTGTCGGGAATGACCAGATCGGTGATGGATCACAACCGAAGACGACATTCACCAGTTGCTTTTCACTTCTTTCGTCTACTTGATGGATGGTCATGGAGAGAGCTTCGACGAGCACATTGATAGCAATGTACAAAGCCAGCTGTTTGACGATCTGGGCTTCAGACATGGATTTCCGATCCCTACACGTCACCAAAATTGCAAAAATACCCATGTTGAGGGGTATTTGACAGAATTTCCAAGTTTTTCTCGCACCGGAAGCCACCATATTGAATTTCAAAAAGACTTCAGACATCGATTTCCAGTCCCTACACGTCACCAAGATTCCAAAAATACCCATATTGAGGGGAATTTGACAGAATTTCTAAAGTTTTTCTCCAACCGGAAGCCGCCATCTTGAATTTCAAAATAGCGTCAGACATGGTTTTTCGGACCCTACACGACAACAAGATTCCAAAAATACCCATATTGAGGGGAATTTGACAGAATTTCTAAAGTTTTTCTCCAACCGGAAGACGCCATCTTGAATTTCAAAATAGCGTCAGACATGGTTTTTCGGACCCTACACGACACCAAGATTCCAAAAATACCCAATATTGTGGGTAATTTGACAGAGTTTCCAAGTTTTTCTCGCACCGGAAGCCGCCATCTTGAATTTCAAAACATCTTCAGACATCGATTTCCAGTTCCTACACGTCTTCAAGATTCCAAAAATATCCATATTGAGGGGTATTTGACAGAATTGAATTTCAAAATGGCCTCAGACATCGATTTCCGGTCCTAGGACGTCACCCTGACTCCAAAAATATCCATATTGTGGGTAATTTGGTAGTATTTCCCAGCTTTTCTCTAACCTGAAGCTGGTATATTGAATTCAAAATGGTGTCAGACATGGGTTTTCAGTCCTCACACTTCTAAAATATTCCAAAAATTCCCATATTGAGAGGTATTTGACATAATTTTCAAGTTTTTCTCCGACCGGAAGCCGCCATCTTAAATTTCACAATGGCCGCAGACATTGATTTCAGGCCCTTACTCGTCACCCCGACTCTAAAAGTACCAATATTGTGGGATATTTGACAAAATTTCCAAGCTTTTCCCCAACCGGAAGCCGCCATATTGAATTTAAAAAAGACGTCAGACATCTATTTTCGGTCCCTACACGTCACCAAGATTCCAAAAATACCCATATTGTGAGTAATTTGGCTGTTTTCCTCTAATCGGAAGCCGCCATGTTGAATTTCAAAAAGTCGTCAGACATTGATGTCCGGTCCGTACCCGTCACCCCGGTTCCAAATATACCAATATTGTGGATAATTTTGCAGTATTTCCAAGTTTTTCTCTAACCGGAAGCTGGCATATTGAATTTCAAATGGTGTCAAACATGAGTTTCAAGTTCCTACACGTTACCATGATTCCTAAAATACCCATATTGTGAGGAATTTGACAGAATTTCCAAGTTTTTCTCGAACCGGAAGCCGCCATACTGAATTTTAAAATGATCTCAGATATCGATTTCCGGTCCCTACACGTCATCAAGACTCCAAAAAATACCAATATTGAGGGGAATTTGACAGAATTCCCAAAGCTCCACCCGGAAGCCGCCATCTTGAATTTTAAAAAGGCGTCAGACATGGTTTTCCGGCCCCTACCAAGATTAAAAAATACTCATACTATGGGTAATTTGGCAGTATTTCCCAGTTTTTCTCTAACCGGAAGCCACCATCTTAAATTTCAATACGGCCCCAGTCCGTACACGTCACCCCGATACAAAAAATACCGATATTGTGGGGTACTTGATAATATTTTCAAAAAACTTTTTTTATGAAATAAATCCCAAATAATGAGTTTTTGTGACGTCTGGTTCGATTTACGAACCACCACGCCGGTTTGGTTCGTAAATGGAGGTTCCAGTGTACCTACCTGAGTACCTGATGGGCGACGACTCGTTGAGTTCAAATCCGCGCCGAACGAAGTAACCGTCTCCATTGGTCTCGGTCCTGAGCCAATCGCTTCCAGTCGCCTTGGACGTTCAAGGACCTAATGTCCTCCTCAACTGCACAAATCCAACGCGTGCGTGGCCTACCCCGAAGCCGACGTCCTCTTCCGGGTTCCCTGCTGAATACTGACTTCGCTTGACGCTCTTCCGGCATTCGTGCCACATGCCCAGCCCACTGTAGCCTGCCGTGTTTTATAAGCTTCAGAATATCCATGCCATTATATACTTGGTACTACTCGTGATTCATGCGACGCCGCCAGATGCCATTTTCCAGCTTTCCGCCGAGTCCTGTTCGCAGCACTTTACGCTCGAAGACACCGAAAGCTTACCGATCGGCCTCTTTCAATGCCCACGATTCGTGGCCATAAAGGGCTACCGGCAGAATCAACGTCTTGTACAGCGCGAATTTCGTTTTCTTACGCAAGCTGCGGGACTTCAGCTGGCTACGCAACCCGTAGAAAGCCCTGTTCGCGGCTGCAATACGCCTTTTCACCTCGCGGGTAACATCATTATCGCACGTCACTAAAGTACCAAGATAAACAAATTCGTCCACAACTACAAATTTTTCGCCATCTAGCACCACTTCACTACCAACCCACTATTGCTCCCACGCTTTCTACCGGCGACCATGTACTTCGTTTTGGTAGAATTTATCGTGAGACCAATCCTCGCTGTCTCCCTCTTAAAAGGCGCGAACGCCTCTTCCACTGCTCTGCGGTCGATTCCGATGATGTCGATGTCGTCCGCAAAACCAAGGAGCATGTGCGACTTCGTGGTGATGGTACCGTTCCTCGGCACGCCAGCTCTTCTAATAGCTCCTCCGAGGGCGATGTTGAATAGCAAGTTCGAAAGAGCATCTCCCTGCTTCAACCCATCTAAGGTCACGAACGAGGCCAAAATCTCGTCTGCAACCCGTACACATGATTTTGAACCATCCAGCGTTGCACGAATCAGCCTAATTAGTTTCGTCGGAAAACCGTTTTCTTGCATTATCTGCCATAGCTCGTTTCTCTTTACTGAATCGTACGCTGCCTTGAAATCTATGAACAGATGATGAGTCTGCAAGTTGTATTGCCGGAACTTCTCAAAGGTTTGACGCAGGGTAAACATTTGATCCGTCGTTGATCGACCCTCACGAAAACCAGCCTGGTATTCACCGACGAAGGATTCCTCAAGCGGTCTCAATCTGTTGAACAGAACACGTGATAATATTTTGTACGCCGAATTCAGAAGCGTGATTCCTCTGTAATTGGCGCACTCCAGTCTGTGTCCCTTTTTGTAGAGGGGACAAACGAGACCATCCAACCAACTAGCGGGCAATTCTTCCTCCCCCCATATCTTGAGCAGTATACGGTGGATCATCTGGTGCAGCTGCTCACTTCCGTGTTTGAGAAGTTCGGCCGGGAGCTCGTCCTTCCCCGCAGCCTTACTGTTTTTCAGCTCTCGTATCGCCTTTTTCACCACAGCTTGACCATCGTCGTCGATGTGTGTTCTGTTTGTAGATGCTCTCTCATTCTCTCCGTTCAGCAACGTCTCGAAGTACTCCTTCCACCTGGCAGCCACCATCGTTTTAAAGGGTGTCCACGATGAAATTGCCACACTATGAAATTGCTCTAACTTTTTAAGCGTTGGGTAGAATTTAATGAAAATTTGGGTGGATTTAGTTCATAGTGCATTATTTACATCCTGCAAGTTTTAAAGTCCTGTGATCAAAACTCGCGGAAATGGAGTCGAAAGAACAGCTCGTGCGTGATAAAATCTTGCGCATTCATCACGAGAACAAGGATCTCTCGCATCGTTCCATCGCTAAAACGTTGGGAATCGCGAATTCCACGGTGTCGCGAGTGATTAAGCGGTTCGAGGAACGGTTGACCACCGATCGGAAGCCCAGAAGTGAAGGAAAAAGTATTCCGTACAACACCAAAAATCACAACCGCGTAGTTGAGGCCTTCAACCGAAATCCGAACGCCTCCGTTAGGGATGTGGCTAAGAAGCTGCACCTAAGCCGAAGTTTTGTC